TTGGGTGGAAACTTATACCAATCAAATACACTTAATTAACAATTCACTGGAAAACAATTTCTAGGCAATTACTTTCCCTGAAATTCATTTTCTTTCCACCCATTTTCCACCCTTGCAATCAAACGGACCCTTAGATTTAAAATTTCAAACAATTTTTTCTTTTTGTTTTTTTTTTACATTTTTTGTTGTGGAAAAATTGTGCAGGTAAATTCGAAAAAAAAGATGATGTTGATATCGAGGTGGAGGAGAAGAAGGAAAGTGAAAGTCGTGGCGCTTTCAAACTCAATGCGGTGGCACCGGAGTTTGTACCTTGATCTCACTCCCCAACCTAGGTGCCGACAATTGGGTATGAATACCATCATTAAAGTAAGAAAAATGCTATTCATTTCCAGTGGGGATGCATCCACAATTTACGTGGATGTAAATGATTGGTTAAATGATAGGTGAAATTAAATGACTTATTTAATTTCATCTAACATTTAATGCCACATTAATGCTACATAGATTGGGGATGCATCCTCAGTGGGGATGAATAACATTTCACTTAAAGTAAATATACCAATTGTCACTAAATTTTCTCAAATAATTTTTTAATTGTGATTGAATTTTAAGAGTTTTTCAAGTTGTCACCAAACTTTTTCAAATGTTTTACAGTTGCCATTGGACGGGTTAATTACCCCAATAGTTCTCCACACTAATGAATCTTTTTTAAAAGTTCTCCACACTGATACTGAATCTTTGAAAATGTTAGCTCATTCATTACTCTATCACTCATCATTTTAAAAGTTAACAAAGTAGAAGATATGATATACCCAATAATATATATTAAAATATTTTTATAAGTTCATCAAATCCGTTAACTTTTAAAAAGATAAATGATGTAATGACACATGGAATAATATTTTCATTACTGGCAATTTAAAGAACTTTTAAAGTTCAGTGGCAAGTTGACGAACTTTTAAAGTTCAATTAAAACTGTGTAACTTTTATAAAAATTCAGTGGTGATTGGAATATTAACCCTAATTAAAATATTCTTTTTTTTTTTTTCTCATTTCCCACCCTTTCGCATATATTTTTGGAATTGAATAGGCATTGGAATTGGACGTAAATTCAGGGAAAAATTGACTTGAACCCTACATTTCAATTTTCAACTTAAAAAATCAGGTCATAGTTATTTTTTTTTAATTTTCAAAAATCAGGTTATAATTATTTTTATAATTTAAAAACATATGTACCCCACTCAAACCATACCCACACACGGATTTCAATAACCCACCATGTAAATATTTTCTCCCTAAAAACACACACACTCTCTCTCTACATTTTGAAAAAGAGAGTCTCTATCTACATAATTACCCGGTCTCTACGTCAGTGTTCTAAAAGGCGTAATGTGTGGCGATGTATGGAGGTCAAGTTTAGGGTTAGATGAGGTTAGGCGAGGCATATGCGTAAAAATGCGTTTTCTTATTTTAATATTATTTTAATTTTTAATCAATTAAAAATAATACTTACTAAATATTTAAAACAGATTTATAGGAACTTTATACATTTTTTTTTCAAAGTTTCCAACAAAAATAATTTTTCTTTTAATAACTCGGGCGTCTTAAAAAATTATCTACCGTACATAAGATTCATTGGTCACTTGAATTTTGGGTTCAAATGATTGTTTTAATTTTAAATTAGGGTAAACTGAAGAAATTAACATTTAATAATTTTTAATTTCAAAAGAATTGTAAAAAAAGAAAAGCGCGTCTAGGCGCGCATTAGCCGTCAACAATTGTCGTTGACCATCAAATAAGACTCTAACCCATTAGATTTGGTGTTTTAGCCTCGCCTCGCGCCTAGACGGTTGTCTAAGAGTACCTTTTAGAACACTGCTCTACGTACATGTACAATTATATACAATATATCTCTTTCTACATTTTGAAAAAGAAAGTCACTCACTCTCTCTCTACAAAAATCTCTATTTCTACATACAAACACAAAATAATACACGCGTGCGCGCGCGATCACACACACACACACACACACACTCTCTCTCTCTCTCTCTCTCTCTCTCTCTCTCTCTCTCTCTCTCTATTTGGTGGTGGCTAGACTTGTAAATGAATTGGATATGGATCGAATCTATCTATATCTGATCCAATCCGATAAGAAAATCATCCGATTCGATAATCCAACGGATATTTGATTGTTAAATTCATATTCGATTTGCTATGTTATCAGATATTCGATCCGAAATTAATAAAAAATAGGGGAAAAAATCAATGTTAAAAATTTTTTGAACTAACTTGAGGCCCACTTATTTTTACGAGCAGGCTCAATAGTGACTTTTACCATTATGATATTCCTTTTTAAAGGAGAGATCCTCTTCTATTTTTCTATTGACATGCGATGTGGGATAATGTAAAATTAAATTTCAATTTCAATTTTAAATATAAATATTTTATTTCATTATTTCAATTAACATATCAAATTATTTGTTGCATATTAATTATTAATTTTTGAAGTTGTAAAATAAATTACAATAATAAATTTAAATAAGAAAAATATAGATATTTATTTACTTTAAATTAGCTAAAATTAAAAAAAATTTATTATTTTTATAATAATTTATATTTATGTGTATAGTTATTTATTCAATTCGACACCGGTTCGATACCGATTCGACACCGGTTTGACTTTTTGACCATTAACCCTCTTCATTTTCCGGGTCAATGGACGGGTCGATTTTTAAGGCATCAGTTCAAATCAACTTTTTTTTTTCTTCAAAATTTCCAATTCTTAAATAGGTTTAATAATTTTAATTTTTTCAACTTTTTTATATTTTGAATTTTATTACTTTTTTATTCTAAATTTATTTATTTTCTCATTTATTTATTTTAGTGACAAATAATATGCCATAAAAATATTTTACCGACTCAATTATTTATAACAAATCGGATCAAATTGTTATCATATCGGATTGACCTATATCCATATGTGATCCATTTAGTTAACATATTATAAGATTCGAATTTTGATCCGGTTATCGGATTGAGATCCTAAATCCATCTCCCATTAATTTCGTCGAATTCAAATCAAAACCAATCTATTGATAGCTCTAGTGGTGGTTGCGTGATTCTAGTGCTTGTGACTTTGTGTTGGTGCGAATCTGCTCATTGGTGATGCTGTTGTTAGATTTGGGAGAGATGGTGCAATGATAGTTGTGTGAATTTGTGGTGCGATGCGGTGTATGGGTTGTGGTGATGATGTTAATTTGGATTTGATGTGGATGTGGTCGCAGTGACGAGTTGGTGGATTGGAGGAGGTGGTGGTTGGTTGTGCTGCATGTCAGGGGTGGAGCCAGCCCTTCAAACTAGGGAGGTCCCGAAGTTGAAGGGGCGGGGGTCTACGGGGGTTCGGAGAAATTTTTTTTGAAACATTATCTGTTAAAATGAGGAAAGTTGAAACTTTGTGATTGAGAAATGAAACAAAGGAACATAAATTAATGTACGAAGATTTCACAAAAAAATCAAGAAATATATAAAAGAAACTACTAATTTGTTGAAATACTTCTCCATCACTGAGCCTGAGGATTGATGAAACTCTTTTGCTCATAATTGATAAATAATACAATTTCACAAACAACCGAATGGGCTGGAATAGGAGATTTTAAAAAAAAAAATTTTGAGCCCAAAAAATAATAATAAAAAAATTTGTCAAAAAATTGGAGGGGGGGTCCCCCCCCTGGTGCATGTGGTGGCAATTGTGGTGGAAATGTTGACATGGTGGAATGGATGGAATGAAGAGCGGGGGCTATCAATTATTGGGTAATTGTGACCAATAAAATCAGAAGTTGTAACTAACAAATAATATGTGACCTAAAAAATGTGAATTTTGTGACCTATAATTAATGTCTTTGTGATCGAAAAATTTATTGTAATCAACTAATTTTAATTTGTGATTGACTAATAATTTGTGACCTATAAAAACGTGTAATTTGCGACTAAATTTATATTTATGACCTACAATTGTGTTTTTGCGATTGTTTGTGACTCTGTCACCAATTTAATTAAATTATATGTCACAAAATGTGACTACTAATTATTATTATTTTTTCAAATCATGATTGTACAAAGAGAAAGAGAGAGTGAGGTGTAAGAGAGAGAGTGAGAAAGTGAGTGGGAGGTGAGAGAAATAATTGTTAAATCATATAGATTAAAGAGAAAAAAAGTTTTGAGGCAAGGGAGAGAAAATGAAAAAAGTGTGAAGTGTAAGAGATATTTGAGTGAGTTATTTATTGTGTGAGAAAGAATCTGTTATATATTAATGATATACTTATAAAATTATCCTAATTTAAATTATAGATTTTCTAAATTTCAGATAGAATAATATATACTATATTATTATTTAGTACCTGATTTATTTTATGAATTTGATAAGTCTTAAATTGTATACTTAAAATATTGTATTTATAAGCTTGTTTGATTCCCATTTTTTACGAAACACATTTTTTTCTTTTCTTTTCAACCAAAAATTCTTTATTAAAATAATATTATACGCAAACCAATTTTTTTCCTTCTTTTCCAACTATACATTCTCCATCAATTAATATTTCAAAATATATTTTTCAAAAAGAATGGAGCTCAAATGCATAATATGAAGGGATAATTAGGTCCAATACACTCAAAAACTAACAAATTAGAATAATACTCCCAAAAACTAATTAAAACTTTCATCCCGTAATTAATACGCTCAAAACCTCCCCAACCCTCAAAACTTTAGAAAGCCCCAAATCAGAACCCAGAAATCTGGCTGAAACTCCCACCACCAGAAATTTTAATTTTGGTTCACTGCCATCTCTATTGTTTGATCTGGCTCATCACTGTTGTTTGTTCTTGCACTCATTTTTCTTGCCGTCGTAGGAGCGGACGAGCGGTGGCTGCCAATTCCTTGTCAAGCATCTCTCCATCTTCATCATCTTTGCCTAAATCATCTTCCCATAAAGCTGCACCATCATCGAAGGAAAGTAAGACCTCCCGACTGTGCACCCCAAAAATCATCGCCCGTGCTTGCACCTAAATCATTTTCCCCAACACCGGCACCGAAATTCACTAGCTAATTAATCACACCATTAACGGTTACTAATATAACATATTAGAGACCACATATTCAATAATTAACGGTGCTAAAATCACTCAATTTAGTATTAATATTAATATTTCAATCTAGAAATCTAATTTAACAGTAAAAATTACCTCAAGTTTCTGAACAGCAATGGCCTCAGAAACGCCGATGATGCTCATGAAAGTCTCAATTTCCCCTTGATTAGCT